TAATGTACCTCGTTAATGGCTACAGCAGAATATTGCTCACCTCCTGCACACTCCAACCTTTCCCTTGGGCTGGCAGGTACAGTTCCCCACAGGGACAGAGAGATGGCAGGGCAAGGAGGGCACGGGAAGTGACGTGGTGCCCACAGGAGAGGGACTTATCCAGCACGCTGTCACAGGCCCCTGCAGTTATTCATGTACCAGAGAGTCATCTAGCTACAGCAGGGACACAAGGGCTCACAAAATAGTGAAGTTAGGCTTCCCTTCCCATGCAGCCTCTGGTACGTTTACTCCTGTCCCTCCCAGGGCCACCTGTGTTAAGAGAGATGCATCGGGACACATTTCTTCTTTAGGTTTAGAAGCAGCCAAACAGATGGGAAAAAACAAAAGATGAAATCTAAAGGAGTTCAGCCAGAGCTCTTCAGCACCACGGCGGTATTTATAGACAAGCCCAGGGCGAGGTAACCCAGGCACCCACTCCACTGTCACACTGCGTTTCTCTGCAAGAGGCCACGGCGCTGCTGGAGGCAGCGTCACTCGTGCAGCTTGCTCAGCACCCACACGCGTATGCAAGCAGACCCACTCATTCACAGCAGCACACAAAAGCATCATCTTGGGCCCTGCTCTGAGCCACCAGGACAAGAGTATGGGCTATGCAAAACTGCAACTTGTCAAAAGTGGGATCCTTCCCCTGCTGATGGTGATAAGAATTGTGTATTTTATCGACTGAGAGCTGGAGTGGGCCCCGAATCATGCTGGCATTATGTTATGATAATGCTGGAAGTATTATAAATGCTTTGCGTGCCAGACAAATCCTGGAGCAGGCTTCCAAATCCCCTCAAAATCCCTGCTTGCATCTCTACATTTATCCATTCATGAAATCCAGAGCAGAGCCTCAGCATCCATCCCTTTGCTCCTGGTCCCTTTCCAGCTGAATGAGAGGTGAGGCAGAGTCAAGGTATTTCTTCTGGATTAGCTTTCTTTTGTCTTCCAGGTGCCAAATCTGAAGAAGAAACTGTGCTAGGGCATTTAAGAAGCAAGGCAGCTGAAGGAATCCCATGCCTCCTGTCAGAAAGTGAAGCATGTCTCATTTTCCATGAGATCTGACTCCCATAACCACAGGGAGCTGCGTGAGCAACGCAGGAATGGAAGGAGAGAGTCTGAACTCCACTTTCCACATTGCATTAACAGGCAGCCACCTTGTCAGCATCTGGCTACTCTTCCATCAACACCAAGCATGCAGTATTTCCTCTGTCCACCTTGTTTACTTACATGCTACGCTCCAGTGCAGAGACGAGATGTTCACAGCACCAAGGACTCTGGCGCATCAAACCTCATCTCAGGAACCAGCAGTAAATAGCATTTCAGGGCAGCTCACAGGCTGGAGCTGGGCCAGCACTGACCAACGCATTAGCACAGCCTTTGAGAGGTAATACATCACCTGCTCTTGAAGAACAGCACAAGAAGCACAGGAAGCCTCATACAGAAGCTGTACAGAAGCTTAGCTCTTGTGCTGTCTTTAGGAAAACAGCTCAGATCCAGGCAGGAGGGGGATCTTCAGCATTTCCTATTTATTCTGCTGTCACTGCCAGGCATATCACGTTGTGCTCCCCATGGCTCATATGGATAGAATAGCTGGAGGGATTTCTGAGTACCACTGCAGCTGGCAACCTGCTTAAAGGCTCTGTGGTACCCGGCAGGACAGGGAATTTCTCCGAGAGGAACACAGATTATGTGTGCATCTGCACCCAGCTGTACTAGGGGAGGAACACACACTTCTAGACACAGGCCAGGGTGGAAAAGAGAGTTGTGCACTCCAGGCACGGTGCAGGTACCCGTAGGGTATCTATGCTGCGCAGGAGTCGTTTTAGGAGCCTGTGAACAACGTGCCTTGGCACTAACATAGCCACAGATGGAGGGGTGAAGAACAGGAGGAGGACTAAACGGGCTAAACCTGTGGGACAAAGCCATCAGCACTGCAAGAGACCGGGATCTGCTCCCTAGCACCACGAATTGTTCTCAGCTATTTCCTCAGTCTCTCAGTGCCTCAGTTCCTTCCCCGGAGGCGTGGAGTTCCCAATAAAAACTGTAGGAGGATCTATTCAATAGTGACTAATACGCTGTATTACTTGGAGCACTTGGGGGTGGTCCACGTGTCTGGATCAGGATATGAAGATTAATTATGGGCCACACCCTGTGATCTCCGCTCAGCAAAGCCCTCATTAGGTTGTGAAGGCAAAGATCTTGCCACCAGAGAAGCAACACTCTGGTAGGTAACCGATTCAGGATCTCCACAGGCAAAGTATAAAAGACAAGCTACCAGATAAGCTACAGCACACCTGATTTTTCCAGGCTGCTGCATGCAAATGTTGGGCTGCAGAAAATGTGGAGAGCAAGACAGCCACAGAGGGCATTGCCCACAGAAAAAGATGCTGACCAAGGCCTGCTGCGTCCCCAGAAGTCAAAGATCTTGCTGATGAGCCCATATGAAAAGCAGTCATGGAAGCCAGGCAGCCTCTGGCACTGCTCATTCCTGCAAGACAAAATGCAAGAAAGGACCACATCCCCTCTTCCTATGGATCCAAATCTGCCCACGGGTTTTGTTTGAAGAAGGAAAAAACTGCTTTTGCACAACTCTTTTTTTGAGCTGGCAGCAACAGAACAAGGGCAAGAGAGAGCAAAGGCACTGCAAAGTCTCCAAGAAACACTAAAAACTGAACTGCAACATTTGCCCTGGTGTCCCTTAAAAGACAATTGTTTTCATTTCCCAAGGCTTCTGCTGTTGCAACATGAGGGAGCTGGAACAGATTAAAAGGGCAGACGCACTGTTTTCCTTTCAGAAAGCATTAATTTGACATGGAGCAGGCAGCTTCGCACGAGGGGCAAGCGTGTGCCCACACTTTGTTACTGGATGACTTCTTGGCAATTGCTTGCCAGAAAGAAGCAGCGTTTGGGAGCGTTTGTGGCAAGGCCCCGCACACTGGAGGCTCTCACTGCTGCTCTTGTCTCGGAAGATACACAATTGCAGAGCAAAAACCAGAAAGACGGAGAACAACAACCGAAAAGATGCAGAACCACCACCAAAAAGATGCAGAACAACAGTGCAGGTCAAGGGAGGAAAGAGAGCACATCCAGGCATGGCTGTAGTTGGCTGCAGCTCTGTGAGACACTGCCCTGGTGAGGACAAAGCCCCAGGATAACAGCATCACTGACCCCATGGTGCCGTGTCAGGGCTGTGTGTCCTCTCTTCACATTCACTTTCCACTATGAGCCACTTCGATGGGTCAGGAAGCTTTGGGATGTCAACTGACAAGTGGGAAAGCTCTCCTACCCTTTTTTTTACTGATGCCCTCTCACTTTGCTGTCACAGAACATCTTCCATATTCCTCAATGCTTTGAAGCTGACACAGAAAACAGAGTTGGGTGCTACAAACAGAAAAAAAGAGATTTTTCCCTTTTTTCCCCCTGAGTGCATTCATCTTCCCACACCTTTTTCAATCCCAGCTTTGCCACCCAAGGAATCCCAACCGTTGTAACTTCCTTGCCAAATCCTGGTCAATCATTCACACCGGAGATCCGTGTATAGAGAAGGACTAACTCCGCAAACAAGGCAAGCACGATGCATCTTGGTGAGTTTGGAGAATTTCCTCATACGAGCAAGGTTTACTCACAAAACAAAACAAAAGAAGGGCTCGAAGCTCCCCTGTACATTTACCCAGCCCTTCTTTCATATTTACGTGTATGCACAAAAACACCCAACCTCACTCGTTTCCACAAGTTGGTGACACCTCACTTACAATTTAGACATGTGCATACAGACCTATGCAACTGCCTGCCCAGTCTCTTTCAGTGGGGACTACTGTGATCCATCATTATCTAAGTAACCAAAGCAAATGCTTCCTAATCCCATGCCAAGACCCATCAAGAAGCCCCTGAAGGCAAGGGGAGGAGGGGGTATCTGACAGACAGCACAGAACAAACGGATATTGCAGCAGCAAGATCCTGCCCAAGATAGTGAGGGATGCCCAGCCAAGACCTGCACTTGTTGGGATTAAGTGTGTATGGGCTCCACAGCTGGAAACATCAGGTCCTCCTCAGTGCTTTCCCAAAGAACATCTGGGCTGAGTCACCTCCAAACACTATTTGAAGTTGGGCTTTCTGGTCTGGCTGAGAGAAATTAGGACTTTCAGGGTCAGGGATCCAGGAATTGAGTCAGAGAGAGGCCCAGCAGCGAACAAGAAAGCATTATTTGTGCACAGCTTCATTGATCACCATGGACTTTCTCCCCCATAATCACTGTTTTTCATCCCCACCCACTCCCACAATATAGAACAACAGAGAGCACTCCTCAGATGGCAAAGCATGGCTCAGCCATCTCCAATTCCTCCAAAAGACAGCACTCAAAAGCTTTTCCCTGTAAGCAGCCTCAAAGTTGGCTCTCGCCACTGCTGGCACAAATGAAAGAGATTTCAGTTCCCCCTCCTCCTAAACCCCATCCCCTTTCTGCTGTGAAGAAAAGGCAGAGGATGACCAAGAGAAGAGAAAAGCAACTCTCTTGGTTGCCTCTCACCTCCCTCCTGTCTTTCTGCACCGGCTGGAAGGGCACAGGGCCATTGAGTCCCCATGCAGCTTCACCCAGAGCTGCACGCAAGCCCATGAGGGGAGCCCCAGAGCAGGTGCAGGTCTGGGAGCTCAGTGCTCCTGGAGGGAGGCACAGGCGTATTTCCCCATAACCCAGCCATGCTCCAGCAAAGCAGCTCAGCATCCTCAGGCACCCAGCCTGAGGAAGGGGGGCAAAGTGCTCTCCAGCACTGCAGCCCCCGGGACCCATTCTGCATCCTTTAAATACACCGGGAGGGGTAGAAAAATCTCTGAGAGTCTTCCCTGCTTCCTCCCACTCCCTGCCGCTGCACACAGACACACACACACACCCAGCCCTGTGCATAAAGGATCTCTGTCCTGCTCAGCTCAGCCATGCAATGCCTGCGAGAGGCAAGAGTTACCTTATTCCCATAGCCTGAACCGCCTTCTCGCTCCATCGTGGCTGGGAAGCTGCTACCATTCATGCTTTAATCCCTGGGAACAGAGGCACGATTCAAAGCGGCTGTTCACCCACCGGAGCGGGCTCCCCCCAGCAACCTCCTCCTCCTTCTCTCCTCCCTTTTTCCTCGTTTGTTTGGTCCGGATTTTTTGGGTTTGTTTTTTTTTTTACGTATTCTTTCTTAATCCAGGCAGCAACCAAGACATTTCTTCATTGCCCCTCTGCCTCCCCGTTTCACTCGCAAAGAAACAGCATCGGAGAGCTCCTTCCTCCTCCACCGCCTCTGTGGACCTCCGGCTCCCCAGGTCTGCCTGTCTGCAGCGTGGCGTTAAGGGAGAGAAAGAGAGTGAAAGAGGGAGGGAGGGAAGGAGGGAGGGAGCGTGCAAACAGGGAGGAGGAGGAGGAGGAGGAGGCCAACAGGGTGCGGGAGGAAGGAGCCAGAGAGCGGCTGGCTGCTTTGTATCCAGAGCAGTGCCGACAGCCCCTTCCCTCCCCCTCACCAGAGGAAGACCTGCGCTGCTAATGGTCTGTACCAATTTATTCCACTTTGGCAGGGGCACTTCTCCCTGCGATGGGAGGAAAAGCCAAGGAAGGCTCTGAGATGGCCCCTTAAGGAATTGGTTCCTGCTCTCCTCACTCCATGGCATCACCCACTGAGTTTGCAGCCGCAGGCGAAGGGAGACGCTCTCCCAGCTCAGCAGGCAAAGGGAAAGA